GTTTTACAAATACTAAATTTCTAATTGTTTACTAACTATACAATTCTTTCTTACTTCCTACGTTTCACAATCCTAATTCATAACATCACTATGTTTTGAAACTTATATTCTAGCGAAAAACGTTAAAATTTATTAAAAACACACATCATGGTAAAATCAATACATTCATCGCTCCGCTCAGACAAATAAATATATTTTAAATAAAAATGGTATTTATTTACTTACAATTGGTACTTTTTTTAAATACTATAATTAAAACTTTATGTGAATAAATATAATTTTTCTCGCTTTTTGGGATGCAAACTATTCAGCCACTTGACAGTACCAACTATCAAGTTATATGAGTCAGTGGCGTAGTCAGGAGGGACTGCCAGCACCGTGCTGGTAGGCGATAATCATGGCCCCCACCTTAATCTGGGCTTAAAGTATGGATTGGATAGAAATATTGATTTGGTACCTACTTATAACTAAAAATATTTACAAGAATTCAGCAATTACAAACTTGAGCTATTTATTATAAATGGTGCAGATGTGAATAAAATCTGACACTTATGGTCAAATCAGACCCTCCACTTATAACTATCTTAAACCATATGAAACCAGAAATAATTAAAGTATCAGAGATAATGCAAAAAGTATACATGGTAAAAGTATGTAAAGAATCTAAAATAAATATTTGAATACATTTCTCGTAGGTACTAAAGACAAAACCAAGTAAATTTGTATTTAGTAATGTTAGTAGGAACTGAATAAAGGAATGTGATAAATACAGATTTATAAAACACTATATACAATTTGGATAAGTATATTTTTTCTATGTATAAAAATTAAAAACCAAATCACCAAGTAAGGTATTGCAAAAAACAATAGATACAAAAACAGTGTATTATTTTAACATCTATTATCTATATTATAATAATTAGATTTAAATATAAATAATAGAAAACAATATAATAAGATAATATTTTGAAGATCTAATAGTAAAATGTAGAGTAAACAAAAAATAAAACTTAAATTAGTTGTCGGTAAAAATTAAAAAGGAACAAGATTTAAAATTAATGAAGATTATTTACCTAACGGTGAAAATCTAATCAAATCCACTGACTAGAAAATTTAGATGCAAAAAGGAACCAAAACAAGTTGTTTTTAACATAATTAAACTAATATCAAACAAATATTTTATATTGACATACAACATGAAAAATTATATTTCTAAATGCATTACAAATTTCAATTATTCAAGCAAATACCTATGCAATGTTAACTGGAGCTGTTTAAAAAATTTACCTAGTAAAAGTAACGAATCATCAGATCCATCTTAAGTGAATAATAAATGGATTTAAAGATACTAATATAATATGTACTAAGATACTAACTGTAAGTAAACATTTTCATTACTTATTTAAATATTACTCAATATTAGAATAATTTAATACACAGTTAAAATATGCAAAAYATACTAAAAATAATATTTTGAAACATTAACTGAATGCATTTAAGATATTTATAACTTTTTTCATACAAAATCATTTAAGATGAAGTGATATTTTACTACTTTGAATAAAACTGTATTTTCTAAAAATCTATAATTTAGTGATAAATTAAATAGTATAGAAATTAAAAACAATTATACTCTGTTTCAAAATAGAATATATCAGTACTGCGCGTGTGGAATGATTGTCATGGCAAAACGGATCCCAAATTTCTCCCTCTACTGGTCACTATTGTACGAGTTATTTTTAAATATGAAGTCTCAATGTTATACACCTAGAGGCGGCTCTTGAGACCCGATAGGGGGGAATCATCATTTTCCAAAAAAAAATTTGTTAATAGATATATGTTTTTTTTTTTATATAATTTTGTTTTCAATATAAAAATTTTTTTTTTAAATACCCCGGAAAGCAGGTTCTATAGTGGGATGAGGTGTGTGCCATTAGATTGAAACCGGTTGATATCTGGTAAGTTCTCTTTTGAAACGGAGTACAGTTGCCAAATAATATTTTTATTAAAAAAACTTGGGAATGTAGTTAAGAGGAGTTCATATTWTAGATATAATAATAAATATTTTATGCTAGATGTTACAGTTGATAAATATTAATGACAAAACAAAAATCTTGTAACTTAGATATTTTTCTATTCAAATCATGTAATAAAAATGAAATTTTTTTAAATAGTGTTCATTTATGCAATTACATTATATTCTTATCAAAACTGAAAAATTGAATTTTGAAWTTAGCATTTCAAAGTGTAAAGTATTGAATCTCAATCTCATAATAAAGGCATTATATTATAATCGGTWAATTAATATAGTAAGATGTCATATATTTAAGTGAACAAAAATTATATTTTCACTTAAATATTCAATAAAAATAATATTAATAATAATTACTACTTTTCTATTATGAACTCCTTTTATCAGATTTATTAAATAAAATATAAATATTGTTTAAATATATATTATTTTTAGATCGCTAGATAATAAACCAGTTATACAAGTATAAAAAGCTAACTATTATCTTAGATTAAATTGGTGAAATAATAGCCATCATAAAAAAATTAAAGCGAATGCAGGATATTTTATAAGTTAATTCATTCTTCTTTAGGTTCTTCAGAACTTTGGAAGGGAGGGCCAGCAGCTTCATCAACTTCAAGAGATAGTTCTTCAGGATCAGGAGCACGGGGCAAAAATTCAGAATCTGGGTACATTTTTGAAAAAATAGATTTTGCCTGGAATAATTAAAAAATAATATAAAATATCTTTAAAAAATATGTATATAACAAATTATTTTTATTTTACTTGTTTAACAGCAAACTCATAATCAACATCTAGATCAGGTCCTGAACACAAATGTACATTACTCGGAACATTTTGTGATAGATCATATTCAGATGTTTCAGGACAATTAAAATATAACGCATACAATATTTGAGGCTTTAATGACTCATTTAGTATGTTTGACTCCCCACTTGATGCAGACGAATCCCCCTAAAAGACCTCATATTAATACTTCAATGAAAATATATAAAACAAAATTAAAATACCTCTTTTGACGTTTGGGTTGATTGAGTATCGGTATTTATTCTAATTGTAGTGCCATCTGCATATTCCGAATGTAATAATGCATCAACAGCCGGTTTTAAATCATTAACTGCATTATCAATTTGTTTAGTGGTCATGTGTAGTAAATCTAGAATGTTTATGTTAATATAAAGTAAATAGGTAGTTAAATAAAATTRTGCCTAATTGTTTACTTACATAGTCCTGGTGGGCAAACATGAGTGGATGGTCCTGCTTCAATTACTGTTATTGGCTCTTTTCCTTTAATTGGAAATTGAAGTAATGTCAAAGACTCTTTGTCCGTGGTAGATATTGATCTATCAATTATAAAAATGCCTCTTGAAAGACCTGCTTTAGGAACAGAGCCTAAAAACTCTGGCGGAGCATCAGCAACACCCATTACAAGATGATCACAATCAAGCCTTGATCCATCAGATAAAATAGCTTTACATTCATTGTTGTCTGCTATAATACTATCAGCTGCCCGTTTCAGATGATACACACCTCCAAAAACAGCGCATAGCCTAAAGCACAAAAATAAAGTTATTTCACTGTGTACAACAATAGATAGTTACTTTAAAATGAATTTATTTACATACCGGCAAAAACATTGTGGAAGTTCTCCAGTACCATACATGGGCCACAAAAATGGTGTGTTACCATAACGACCGAGGCTACTTAAGAATCGTTGGGTTCTTTCAACACCAACCATACATGGTGTTGTATCATTTGACATAGCAATAGCATATAATACATAATGCATTAGATTTTCAGTTAAGCCTTTGCTTTCTAAGTATTGTTTTAATGTTTTATCTTCAAATCCTTTAAATTCACCACTCTCTGGCTTATATTCAACACACAAAGTCAATAGTTGCATTAATTGTCGTTTTTCAATAAGTCCAACATTCTTAGTAGCAAAAACATCTGCTCGAGAACATGGAACTGTTTCTAATTTATCAGACTGCCATGTAAGAATACGATTTACACATCGAAATTCAGCATAACGAGAGATATTTGATGAAATAAGAAGTTCTACCAGAGTGCCACGGGAGAAAAGTAACTGCAACAGATTAATTTATAAATATAATGTGGTTTCATAAAACAAATAGAAATAGCTTTGAACAATAGTAAATATAATGAAACTAACTTTTGGTGCTAAATCCAGGTTAAATTTACGTCCCAGGGTTTTAATTTTAGCCTGACACCAAAGTTTATCATTCTGTTTTAATGTAGCTTCAGCTTCAGTCAATCCATCTTTACTTTCTTTTGGACTATCTTCAGTTTGGGTAATTTTTGCACTGAGTAAATTACCAACTGAAGGAAGTTTTCTAAAATAAAATATAGTTTTAATGAAAACTTAAAACTTAAAATATTAAAATTATCATACTCAGGTATAAACCATTTTTCTTCAATATTGAATACAGTGGAAAATTGATTGCCTATAGTTATAGACTTCTCAGTGTCTTGCACTAATGAAGAAGATGTTTTCACAAAATCATTTGTTTTTCCATTTCTACATTCATCTAACCACTTTTGAAGAGCTTCAAATGTAAATGATGCCCACATACCACCATAATAATCATTTCTATAAGAACCAATACAAATATTTATAATTAGGTACAATATGATTTTGAAATAGAATATTTTGAGCAATTTTTAGTAGAACATAATATACCTATCTAAATGTAAAACTCGTTTTCCAATTCGACTAGCAGCAGCTGCAACAATTGACTCAGTCATACCTGAAATCATTTTATTTAATATGTATTATATTTTTAGCYTATAAATCAATGAAACAAAAACACTACACTTTTAACAACCACTCTAATCTATTCATGGATCCCAAAATTACAAATAAAGCTCATATAGTTTTCCACTAAGTTAGCTTTACAATGTTAACGATAGAAATGTTTTTAAATTCTCAATAGTATTGTTTGATTTTTAATATATATATAAAAAATTGTAAGACAGCAACAATTTTTAACGAAATTACTTATAATTGTTAACTATGCCAATTGATTGGCATTAACAAACAAATAATTTATAAATATAGAATTTTATACATTATATACCAGACAACATTTTTCTATTTAAATTTTAAACCAATAAAATTAACAAAAATTAACACTGTGTGTATATCCTCCGGGCRTTTAGATGAATAATTTACTGTGTAGAACATGGTACTTAGTCACAATTGCAACACCAATTCAAGGTATAGTAAAACAATATCAATAAAATATTATAATATAAATAAAAATCTTACTATGTTCCCAATAGAACATCAGTAAAGAATAATAATTACCAAAATTACAAAATATCACCAATATTAATTGGTGTTCAAACAAAATACACATACATAGTAATAATATACATTTATACAATGATAAATAATAATGATTAACTTAGGAAATTTTATTCATTAGTTAATAGTTTTAACTTGTAACTATTACTATTATTAACAACTATAGAAAGACCAATCATACATTTCTCGATGTATATGAAACAACTAAGCTTCAAATTCAATTTGAGTTTTTACTACTTTTTAGTGATCTATAATAGAGAAAATATATATTTTTATTTTATGGTTTATTTAGTTTTTATGGACTATAACATAATAGATAATGGAAATTCACTTTCTCTTACCATGACCAATAGACCATAATAGAATATCTGATTACACAACCATTAAATGAAGTGCTAACCAAACCATGTATATAAATTTAAATAGCAGATTTTTAGGTTTTTAAAAGCTTAAAATATGATGCTAAGATGTTCTAAAYACTCTAAAATATTCTCTAAATATTACTTAAACTTTTAAATATAAAAATTTTTTTTCAAAATAGTTAAATAAAACCAATAAATCTGTTATGCACCATTTGTTTGGTAACAGTTAAATTATTTAAATATAAAAAATGTTAATAATTGAATGATTTTTAATTTATTCAATTCTTAAATAAAAATTTGTTTTGGTCTAGGAAAAATTGTAGCTAGAAAAAATCAATTCGAGAAATTAAGAAAACATAATTTTTTATAGACAATAATATAATAAATTCTAAAATATGAAAAATAGGCTGAATATTCTGTTATGTCAAGACATATTCTGCTACAAGGTGATATATTAAATACTTGCTAATGTTGTGAAGATTTTTTTTCAATACAAAATAATCATTTGGTAGAAACTTAATATATTTAACTTTTTTTAGTAACAAAATCCTTTTTTTATTTTAAGCACATTTTATGACTGATATATCCTTTAATTCAAACTCTACGATCTACACATTACAATGTTAGATATAATATAATAGAAAATTACAGAAACTGTATACTTAATATATACAAATATAATGTAATGATATTAACATACATTAGGATACAAAGTATTTATAGGGGAACTATTTTAATTTAAGTTATGTTTGTCAATTATTGTGTATTACATAGTTTGAAGTGCCTAATATTTATAACTAAATAAATAATTACATTTTAGGTAAATGGGTTTAAAATGGGTCTTAAATCTTATAGGTTTTAATTTTTTTAATGATTAGTTTTAAATTTTAAATCAAAGCTTTTTAACATGTTAACTGCCATGCAAYCTCGAGAATATTTGTAATGGGTACACCATGTATATTTTTCAGTGTTATTATAAATTTGTATTTGTACCTATATATACTATTGAATTAGAAAAAAAATTTAAAATACAAAAAAAAAAAATGTTAAAATTATGTTTATTACATAAAAAAAAAAAATGCAATTATTCCCACTACGCCACAGTGTATTTTAAAGATCATTATTGTAGCATCAGGGAAAAGTTAGTAATATAAATATAAATTAATTTACGACAGTCCGCAGCCATATGGCCTCCTACGAATGATATGGTGCGGCAGCTAGCGGTCTAAAAGTTATCAATACCTAAGTATTTTTATACGGATGCCGGCGGCCGCATGGCAGTCAACGTGTTTAATAAAGACTTTCTAATATGAGTTTAAAATATCATTGCAGTTTAAATAACTAAAAATATGATACACACATTACTCAGGGTATTCAATGCTCCTTTACTATCATTATCTAAACTTTAAATACTTAAAAATCTAATATGATCAAAGTTAAATATAATAATCCATCAATTAAATATTTGATAATAATAATAGGATTGATAACTTTTTACTAGCTAATGAGTAATAGTTAATAACTGAAAAGTATAAAAAACTATAACTATAACTGTAATGTATACTTTAGTATTTATATAATATATTATTATAAATTCTAGATTTCATAATATGAAAATATTATTATTACTTTTTTTAAATAAAAAGTTCATGGTAGGTAAAGAATTTGTTAAAATTCAAATTTCCATATTAATTATGTATTGATTATATTATATAACTTAAGTTTTTTTGTACTAGAAAAAAATGACAATTATCTTTAAATATTTACAAAACAATGAAAATAAAAACAAATTGTTCTTAAATATAAATTATTTGATTTGTATAATGTAATACAAACAATTTTACTCAGTCATGGGATATATATTGGAGAATGAAATTAAACATTAAAATTTAGTACCTTAATTGACCTCCTTAATTATATCATTTATCGATTCTCGGTGACCACCCAACCCATGTAAGGTGCAGAATAAAAGAATAAAAATAAATACAAAATATGATAATTAAGATGCTTACACTACACCCCAAATTGTAAAAATAATTATACACATATGGATCTTATTACCAGTGCCAATGACGATCACTTCATACTTGGATGGCAGGTTGTCCTCCATATTGAAGTAAATTGTTTGTAATTTATAGAATTATCTCACAGCGCTAGCCGCTTCCTTTCGAATGATTTATTAGGCAAATGATTTACTATTGACGGCAGAGAATGCCTAAAAATAAATTGCAAAACGGAAGGCAAATTAATGATTAAGTAATRATTCAAGTATTTAACATCGGTGATAACCGTGACACCACGTCCGTCTCTCACAGTCTCACCGATTTATAAATGTAATATGTAATCAGTAATCATCGTATATTATCATTTATCACTTAACACTATTCACAGTATGTGAAGAAAAAAAAATAGTAAAATTATCAATAATTCTATTTATCCCATACCACGGTTACAGGCTGTTGAAACCTCAATTCTCATTTTTTATACTACCTTATGCATAATACATTTACAACTTAAAACTATGTTATACCAGTTATACCACAGAGGCGGTACAATACTTACAACTGGCCCTAAGAATTGCGATACGGTTACAACATCATACCGGTCATCCGCTGCCAACATCATGCCGAGCCACCAGCTCAAGGTCAACAGAAATATTTTTCGRTGATCAATGGGATTTTGATAGCTGTGAGCAGTGTGAGCTGTGAGCTGTCGCTTCTCGCTTCTATTATAGTATTATGTTCTATGGTTAGTACCGAAGTTGCAAGGTCTCTGTTTATAACTTAAATATCTGTTCGAAATGTCTCAAGAAAAAGTAATTGAGAAACCTCTGCAACAGTTCGTTGTTCAAGCCCTAAAATTGGAAGGAGAGAGTTTAGTGGAAGTTATTAAACAAGCGTTGGATTGTGTTGACACATTTGTATTTGCGGAACTCTTAGAATGCCCTAACGTTATTGCATTAGAAACCACATCTCATGCTCCATATTTACATGCGTTACGTATTTTTTCGCAAGGTACGTATTTGGATTATTTGGAAAAAAAAGAATATCTTCCAGAACTCAGTGAACCCCAGATRAAAAAACTACAATATTTAACAATTGTTACATTGGCCAATAAAATGAAAAGAATACCTTATGATGTTCTCTTGAAAGAGTTGGATGTTGATAATGTCAGGGACTTAGAGGACTTAATCATTGAAGCGATCTATTCCAATGTGGTTTCTGGCGARCTCGACCAACGGAGTGATTATCTAGAAGTTGATTGGACAGTTGGTAGGGACGTTGGAATTAACGATACTGACAACATGATAGACATATTACAACAGTGGTGTGATTCCTGTGAGAGTGTTCTTTCTACAGTTCAAGCTCGAATTGTTGATGCTAATCGAACTAAACAAGATGTACTGAAACACCGCGCTGCTGTCGACAATGAAGTTGCTAGTGTGAAAAAAGCAATAAGAACTCAAATACAAGATGAAGAAATGTCAGTGGATACTAGTGGTCCTACAAAAAAAAGTGTTAAAGGAACAAAACCTAGTGGTGCTAAATTTTGGAACAAGTAAAGAACTGTACAATACCTTATAATAATTCACATATTACATTAATTTATAATCATTATAATTATGATTTTTTTTTGTATAAAATGGTTTTAATATGTAGAAATGAGCAGATATAAGCCATAACTATATAATTATTTTTCCTAATAATCTTTTTAATTTAATTTTGTGTTAGATTTTGGTACTGGATATACAAAACTTACTTTTTGATGTATGATGTATCCACCAACCTATCATAATCTTTATATTAATAAAGATTTTTTTTTTTTTGTAAATATTGCTTATAATTATTTACAATATAAACTAACTTTCTATCAGCAAGTATGATGAGTGATATATTATTTAAATTATTAACAAATTCTTAAATACTCGCTTAAATAAAAAGCCACTATGCAGCACCACATGACTAGATAATTATTATTTAATTACCTAAGATATTTAGGCTAAATTATCTTGGTTCCTCTGCAGATGATTCCTGGGAGTTAGAAGAAGGATAATTATTTAACTGTTATGAGTTTAATTTATTATGGTTTGAGGAGTATTGTGCCTTAGACATTTAATCATTGAAGTAATTAGTTTTTAAGTATAAAGATGTTTAATAGTTATTCACCACCGTGATAACTTAACTATATGTGATAAACTGAAATGTTTGGAAGGTTTTGCCACATTTCAAAGCTGAATCCTGGTAAAACAGATTAGATTATTAATTAAATCGATTTATTTATTGTTAGTTAATTTGATATGGAAAGTTGTAAATTTAATAATGTTCTGAGAGGTATAGTTTATGTTTTTCACTTGAGTTAGACGTGGGCCTGAGGTTAATTCAAGATAATTTGCTTGATTTGCTGTTATTAGTATTTAATTATAGATTCTAGATTTCATACATTAAGGTTAGATTAGTATGGATTTTAAATTTTACTTATTTATTTTAATTTTTCAACAGTATGCRTATAAATATATCATGTCAAAGTAATTTTTTAACTTTTTTCCAGGTATGATATTATCTTGTAAGATGCAGGTATGCATTTATTAGAATATTATCGTATGGTCGTTTGGATGAGTAAAATATTTTTGAGGTATTATAATTGAACACGAAATAAAGAAAAGATGCAATATCACTTCTTTACTTAATTTTGTAACAATTTTAATAATTTTACTATTCATCAATACCACTAACCACATATATTATTGTATTTTTAATTATTTATATTTATTACTACACTTAATAAATTAATAATTATTATGTTACATTGTTAATAAAACTAAATGTATACAGTGGCGTTGTGAAGTCAAAATATCGAGAGATGGCCGCCTCTCATTTTAAATTAATCTTATAATATRGTTTTAAATTTGTTAAGGGGGAGCTATAAACCCTGAGTTCATTGTTCAAGAATRTCAAGAATAGGGACTTATTAGTATTAGTTGAATTATTCATCTTTTTAGTGATTAGATGAAACCATAAATTAAAAAAATAATAAACAAAAATCAATACAGTGAATATCTTAATATATACAATTTTATTGTTATATGTTAGGTACCTTACAACTAAGTCAATTAGAAAAAGTAGTTACAAAATACATATTAAGTGCAAAACAAATATATTATATTCCAATACCATACCTAGCCTAATACCATATTTTAAAAATAATATTACATGATAAAATCTAATAACAATTGAAATGATTTAATGTAATTTAATTACTAGTAAATAATCAAATATTTTAATAATTTATTACGGTAGATACATGTTTACAAATGGGAGAACATTAATAGATAAGGCAAAAAATTTAAAATTTAAAATTTTGTACTAGCAAGAAGTGTCTTGTGTAGATAGTATAATGGGTAAAATATAAATTTTAACTACAAAAATATTTAAATATCACATGATTGAAAAAAAGTTATAACATATATTAATGTAATGCTACCTCTAATTCATTATTTGTATACATTAATTTCTATTAAAAAATAAATACTTTTTAGGCTTAATTGAATGTTTAATTAAAATATCACAATTTCTTTAAACATTGTCCGACTTCACTTTCATTGTTGCTTATCTATAACAACATTTTGTACCTATTTAGTTAATTTTTTTTTATATTGTATTATACATTTATATACTTATTTAACAGTAAAATATAAGTTATTAATAAGTGATTATATAATTATTTTACATACTTTTTTAACATAATTTTTCTTATAAAAGTCTCCAAATAAAATCAGCATTGTAATAATATAAAAGACAAATAAATATTTCATCCATAATGGCCATTTACACTCACTTTGTATGGCATTTATGCCTAATGGTAGAGCAAATGAAAATTGAGCCTAAAAACAAAAATATATAGGAAATGAGATTATAAAGACTTAAAAATGAGAAAGGGGTGAAGAATAAAGTAATAGCCATAAGTACCTACACTTGTATCATTAAAGATTAGAACATATTTCCTATTGCATTACATAAAAAAAAATTGATAATTATTTATTTGTAGGTACAGTAAAACTTCAATAAGACAGAACTTCTGTTAGACAGAAACCCCGATAATTCGAACAATTATATAATGAGTGTGAATGGTGATCCCCTGTCTTAAAGTCTGAAACTCCATTATAAGACAAAAAAAATTGGACGGTCCTAAGCGATTTTGTCTTAACGAGATTTTACTGTACTTAAATTTATGCCATTATTTCATCAAAGCATTGTATTTGTATATTTTAATGTTTAAGCAATGAACACTGAGCTGATTATACCTAATAGCCAAAATTGTATTGGTTATATAGATGTAACATGAGAATTTTAACGTAGATATTCATATACAACATAACTAACTAATCTCTTAATAACTGATTTTTCTTATTCTAAAAATCAATTTTAAAAAGCTGAAATAAAAATAGCTGTGAAATATTAATCCCTATAAAATATTCATTATTTTCAGGTCAATATAATATTTTATWWTATATAAGTTTAATAATRTTTTAATGAATTTCTTATAATACAACCTTCCTATGTACTATATTAGATATATTTTATGTTTTGCTAAAATATTAACTGACAATACTCATATTGAATCAAAACTTTGAAATACATATATAAAATAGATGTGTTAAAATATAGGTAACTTCTACAAAATTATTGAATTTACTAGTTCTAATACATTGAAACTTGTTTAAGACACTTCAAGGGATCCGCTCAAAAGAGTGTCTAATGTAGGCTAATGTATTAACTTGGTAACTAAGTAAATATATAGTGACTGGCAGAAAACAGCATCTCAAGTAATTTTGTCTATATTACCCTATAACTAATTTATATCTGATCTATAACTATAATTAAATAATGATTATTTTTACCAATTGAATGATTGTAACATATTTTTTGTATTTGAAGATTTTTGAACATTGCATTGCTGCTAATGTATAGTAAGAATACATTATAACATGTACAGTACTGTTGATTAATACCGGTAGAAATGCTGAGCCTCCAGGTACATATTTTGTTCCTAGCCACGAGAATATGAACATTGTTGAATGATGGTAGACATGAAGAAATGATAGTTGATTATCTTTCTTCCTGAGTATCAAAAATATAGTGTCCAATAATTCAAAAAATTTAACTATATAATATAACCAAACTGCTGTTGCTATCTGCAATAAATAAATTATATTAAAATATTTTCTTATTTGATTTAATTTAGTGTTAACTTTAAATGTGTTAAATTGAATACAATTCAAGTTAAGTATTTTAATATTTTATATTATAGTATAGGTATACTATATTTCTTTTAACCAGTCAAAATAAACTAATTATTTTCTGTCTGTTCATGTTAGTTACTAATATTTTCTAAAATTTATTTGAATGCAATTTTGAATGCATACTAATACTGTAATACATAAGAATAATGTGTAATTTTTGTATGGTAAACTGATAAATATACCTTTCTCTATCCAACATTAATATACTATTATACTAATAAAAAATTATAACTTAATACCCCATTTATAATTTTTATGCATATTATTTTAAGAAAAGTTTTTTAATATTTTCCAATTGAAATTTAAAATTAATTACTATCAACATTCAACATCAAGATTTACCCTAAGCTCAGCTTCTGCATTGACATAGGTTATTGGCTGACACATCCAACTATAGTTTAATTTAGTAGTCATCAATATCATCTGGAAATATATTTATATAAGTTTTTAGATACTAATTAATGATGAATTTAATGAATCTAATTTTCATTACTTCTATTATTATGAATAAATTTGTTATTATCATTATGATATTGTATATTATTAGAACATTTCTTAAGTTGTATGCTGTGCGATTTTTCATATACAGTGGAGTCAGCCATACTATTAAAAGGTAACAAAGAGCTATAGTAAATGTAGTGAAAACTGAATTTACCATCCACCACCCTCTGGTTCTAGAATCTATTGTAACAATAAAAAAATCATATTGTCACTAATATAAAATAATGATATCACAGAACAAATTATATAAAATTTTAATATTTCTTTATTGGTTCTTTTAAATTTAAATACAATTTAATAATTATGATTAACATCAAACATAATTACCACTTAGCGATTCAGTCCATTGATTAAAATGTTCCACTTGTTCAAATAATGTAGATAAGTTGTAATCTAAATGGAATACTGTAAATTCTCTAAAAAAATATCAATTAATTATTAATTATTAATAAAAACCACTTAGAATAACCAAAAATCTATTGTATCTATATATTTTGTAGTTTTTTTTTATTGTATAGTACTATAGTAAATCAAATTAGGAAGGCTTAGTCCCCCCCCCCCACACACAGACACAAAAAATTCAGAAAACATTTATTTTCTACACTATTAAAATAAAATAAAAATCTATAATTTAAACTAAATAGTAATTTGTCTAATTCCGACGCAAAATATTATGTGAACTGATCATAATTTATAATAGGATGTACTTATAGTGCCTATTAAACGGGGCTCTGTATAGGCATTTTACACTCATACGTKTGATGATGAATACCATTATTAAGAATTAAAAATATCAAGTTAATAGGACATTATAGTCATTATACCCACATAAATTGTTCAATGTCTACGTTTAATTTACAWCTTTAAAATTCTCATAATCTGCACTAAAATTAAAATACAAAAAGCCTAGCCTACAAAGGGCCAAAGAAATAATATTCTCAATTTAAGTTTGATAATAGGTAGAGCTAAACGGAAAATGTTTCATGTTATCTATCAGTAAGACGAAAAGAGTTTACATGCGCGTATAGCGTCCTGTTAAGGTTTTGAGGTTTGAGTAACCTAGTCAATTAATTTGCTTTCATGAAAGCATTTTTTAATCCGTTATCATAAAACCATGTGTTGAGATGCKCCCTAGCTGTTTAATAATATAGGTACTAATTCCTACTATTTTAAATCATTGACTAATACTTATGTAACTATATCAAATTACTATGAAATGCCGTTAATATTTTAATTCCAATTTTTAATCTCCTTTCAGAAACTGTATTTGAAAAAATATTTAAAATATATATGTATTGTCGTTATATGCCTAATTAAGTAGGTAACGTTCTAATAGATAGGACAACATAATACTATTATAGGTGTTAAAAACTCACTCGTTTGGTGCAGTATACATTGTTATTTGTATTGAATTTATATTTCAGTGTTTGTGAACCGCTTAAGACTATGTGTATTTATATATTATATTTTAATATAACATAGACTCTAACTGGCACTGAATAAAAAAAAAWAAATTAATGGCTTGTGTACCTAGTTGTGTAACGGCGTATATGAGCACTAGGCTTAGCTCATATTATGATGACAATAAACGATGTAATTATTATTTAATACAACCAAATCAATTTTTTTTTTTTTTTCAAACGTGTACGGAAATGTAAAACGAATATCGATGTGCACAATATTATACAGTGGCGTGCGTACTTGCCGTACAACAACGTACTACTATGAAGATAAACACACCGATGCCGACCGACGAACGAGAGAAGATCAATGTTCAAAAAACCATTGCGCATGCTTAGCCGCTGCAGTACCTATGATGCATTATGTATAATATAATATTATAATATTTTGTTATGTATTATTAACCACTGCGAGTTATTATAAGTGAGATATTAGGAGAGTGTATGAATTGTATCGAAAAAAAAGAACCAAAATTCGTGAAATGTATATAAAAAGCTTAATTGAAAATACTAAAAATGAAAAAGTAATACCAATGTTAAAAAACTATTGGAAAATGTTTACYTTTGACCTCTATAATGCACTAAGGATATTCACTTTTACATCGGAAACCACCACCACAGTTTGAAATTGAAGCATTATTTCGACTAGTTATGCTGTAGGTACATAGACACACAAAAAAAAAAAAACACACATCATTGTAAAATCAATACATTCATCACTTCGTTCAGAATCTAAAAGACTTAAAAAATTAAAGTTAAAATTTCAATTTTGAATTATTATTCACTTTCATTCTATATAATAAGCTATAAAAGGGAAATGTATTTCTACAAATTCATATAGACTCAATTATTATATTTTAATAAGACATTATAATCCATAAGTAGGTATRTATAGGACATAGGTATAAGGTGTTTCTTAGTGTTCCATACATCCAYTGTTCAGTTAGTACTTGGTTTAGTCTTTGAGAACGATCTCATTTGTCAGTGAATCGAATAGGAAATCTACTGCTTTTGTGTATGCTACCATACTGCAGGACTCAATACTCAAGATAGTCATTTCAATTAATTATTATAATCATGTTGCAATAATGAATAAATAATTATGTTTATTTAATAATTTATCCTATACAACATGCATGCAATAATATAAAACAATTATTATTTTGCAGAAATAAATATTATAATCTATATAATAATRTAGATACCTATTTAAATAAAAATATATTTAAACTACCTATAATTATTTTACTACTTTTGAAACTTTCATATTTATTTCAATTTTCAAATTAAAAGTTGTCTATAAAAATAAGTATCAGATATTTTTCATTAGACCGAAATGTTGGGTTCATGCAGGTAATTTATAATATGTAGGTATCATTATTATGAATTATGATATTTGATTAATTTTTTAATTTTTTTTTATCTATGTTATAATGGTGCATTACAATTCCGACGTTTTCAAACGCTGCCCATACAAATGTGCATACTTGCTAGCAAATTAAGGGATATTTTTTTGTTTTTTTTTTTTACAATGAAAACCATATAGGATACAGGTCACTACACTGTAAAAAATTAAAACCAATTTTAAAATTGTATTTATTTTAAAACTAAACAAAAGGTGTTTCGGATTTGTCTCCAGACTCTATCAAAGATTCGGTTTCAGAATCCAACTCTGCAGACTCGATGGTATTGTGGGTGTGGCCTCTAACTCCATCGACAGGGTCGTTTACTACGGAACACAACCCGAAAAACTCTGTTAGAGGGTCGACATTTTGTACCCGACAAGATTTCAAAAACATATATTGGTTGAATTTGGTGACCGGAGCCAGCAGTCGATGGGAGCCACTTATAGGTACTCATTTTACTTTATCTGGCCATCGAGTCCGGCGACCGGAGTCGATAGGCTCCGGGAACCGGGAGGTCCCTTGAGTTTAAATACATGACTCTTTGAGGGGAAGTGGTTAGTATGCTAACCATTTTTTTTTTACCGTTCAAGTGCGATATGGTTACTATAAATTAACCACGTTTTAAATTATTTTTAATATTTTTTCGACGGTGGTCATCAGCATACCAACCACCTTATTATCAGCTTATAAACATCTA